AAAATTAAATGGATAAATTACACATAGCCCCCTCATATTTATTACTTAATCACCTGAAATCTTTTAACTTTTGAAATATTATACCTATACCCCTCGAGAATTTAAATATAACTAAAAATGTTCTCTTAATTGGGCATTCAAATTATTTTTTTTAAGTGATATTTTGCATTGGATATAAAAAATATTATATAATACCAGTACTCTTGAATATTATATAATATTTGTATTGTATTAGATAGAGCTGTCAAAATTCGACACGAGACGATTAGCCGACACGAGTTAAACAAGTTTGAGTGAGATGTTAAGGGTTTAGGTGATAAACGAGTTGACACACCAAACACGTTTAATAAATGGGTCGTATTCGGGTGATACTTGTCAAACCGTTTATCACACGTTTATCCGTTTAAATAAAATTAATATAATAATAAATTAATAATTATTTTAAAAAATTAGCAAGAAAAAAGAAGTAAAGAAATCAATAAAAAAAAAGTAAAATAGTACTTCAAAAACAAAAGAGAAGAGTTGGAGAACACTTCAAAGGCAAAGACAAATAAATGTCATTTGTTTTTATCCCACATTGAAAAATGAGGAGAGATAGAAAGGGTTGAGTTGCCTATAAAAAAACAATGACCTCTTGCTTTTATTTTTAAAGCCTTCAAGTCTTATTTTTCAAAGACAAAGGAGAGGAGTTGTAGAGCACTTCAAAGACAAAGATAAACCAATATTTTTTGATTTTGTCCCACATTAGAAAGTGAGGGGAAATGGAGAGGGTAAGTTGCTTATAAAAGGCAATAGCCTATTGTTTTTTTTTTAAAGCCTTCAAGTCCTATTTTTATGAGATTTGATTTAAAATTTCTCTTTTTTGAGATAAGTGCAATTAGTAGTAAAAAAAATAGAGTATTAAAATTTGTTGAAATAATTTTTTTAAAATTAAACGGGTTAAATAAGTTGTGTCGTGTTNCTAAAATTAAATGGATAAATTACACATAGCCCCCTCATATTTATCACTTAATCACCTGAAATCTTTTAACTTTTGAAATATTATACCTATACACCTCGAGAATTTAAATATAACTAAAAATGTTCTCTTAATTGGGCATTCAAATTATTTTTTTTAAGTGATATATTGCATTGGATATAAAAAATATTATATAATACCAGTACTCTTGAATATTATATAATANGTTTTAAGAAACAATAAGATTTTTATTTTAATTTTATTTCAATGAATTTCATAATAGAACAAAAATTTTAGTTATAAAATTTAAAATATTTGATATTTTTTTTTTTTGAAATATAATTTATTAACAAATATTAATAACGGACATCGTCAACATGAGTCATTGCATTAAATATCCAACGAAATCTCTCTTTCTCTCTCCTAGATTCATCATTGCATTAAATATTGAGAAATATTATTTAGACAAAAAATATTGACATATTGTATTTGACTCATTCCATTACGATCATTGAATCGATACTGAATTATAATAAATGTTAGGACTCGTAGTTAGAACAGTGATAGTAATTTTAAGAGTCAACAAATATTATCAATTTTTTTTATGGAAATAACATTACTCTTAAATATTTACTGGATGAGAAATGTATTTCCAACTTGAGAATTTTTTTTTTTTTTTTGGTGAGGCCAACTTGAGAATTAAAAACACACATAGTGAATGTCACCACCATGGACCCCATCCATGGTGGTGATATTCCAAAAAATGTTTTGTTCCTAAAACATATACCATTTTTCTACAACACGGAAATGTTAACGAATATATGCTGAAATTGGAATTATAATTGGTATACAAATTTAATACAATACGAAATTAGAGGGTTTGAGTTTTCGTTTCACAAATAAATAGATTTATTGATTAATAAACGAATCGGTATGGATTAAATTAAGTACAAAATATATATAACACGATTCATTTATTTATATACTAAATATACAAAATTTATAAACTATACAAATTTGATATAATACCATCTGTTAAACATGAATTAATAAAGGGTTAATCACAAATTACATTTTGAAAGATCTCTCAAATTTTAATTTACACATTTAAAGATAAAAAATCTTACATTAAAATTAAATGGATAAATTACACATAGCCCCCTCATATTTATTACTTAATCACCTGAAATCTTTTAACTTTTGAAATATTATACCTATACCCCTCGAGAATTTAAATATAACTAAAAATGTTCTCTTAATTGGGCATTCAAATTATTTTTTTTAAGTGATATTTTGCATTGGATATAAAAAATATTATATAATACCAGTACTCTTGAATATTATATAATATTTGTATTGTATTAGATAGAGCTGTCAAAATTCGACACGAGACGATTAGCCGACACGAGTTAAACAAGTTTGAGTGAGATGTTAAGGGTTTAGGTGATAAACGAGTTGACACACCAAACACGTTTAATAAATGGGTCGTATTCGGGTGATACTTGTCAAACCGTTTATCACACGTTTATCCGTTTAAATAAAATTAATATAATAATAAATTAATAATTATTTTAAAAAATTAGCAAGAAAAAAGAAGTAAAGAAATCAATAAAAAAAAAGTAAAATAGTACTTCAAAAACAAAAGAGAAGAGTTGGAGAACACTTCAAAGGCAAAGACAAATAAATGTCATTTGTTTTTATCCCACATTGAAAAATGAGGAGAGATAGAAAGGGTTGAGTTGCCTATAAAAAAACAATGACCTCTTGCTTTTATTTTTAAAGCCTTCAAGTCTTATTTTTCAAAGACAAAGGAGAGGAGTTGTAGAGCACTTCAAAGACAAAGATAAACCAATATTTTTTGATTTTGTCCCACATTAGAAAGTGAGGGGAAATGGAGAGGGTAAGTTGCTTATAAAAGGCAATAGCCTATTGTTTTTTTTTTAAAGCCTTCAAGTCCTATTTTTATGAGATTTGATTTAAAATTTCTCTTTTTTGAGATAAGTGCAATTAGTAGTAAAAAAAATAGAGTATTAAAATTTGTTGAAATAATTTTTTTAAAATTAAACGGGTTAAATAAGTTGTGTCGTGTTACTCGTTTATTAAACGAGTCGTCTTCGTGTTGACATTTTTTACCAGTTTATTAAACGTGTTGTGTATGAGTTTATATGTTTTTCACCCGTCACTCGTTTAACCCGACACGTAACCGTTTAACCCGACATGATTGACACCCCTAATATTAGACATTTAAAGGGCAAACTTAATTTTGAACTTTAGAGTATAGCGATCCACAAAATAAAGAGTAATATAAAAATTACAACTATTTATTAGGATGACATCATTTTTTTAACATATATTAATAATAGGGGGTTATGNGGCTGTCAAAATTTGACACGAGACGATTAACCGACACGAGTTAAACAAGTTTGAGTGAGATGTTAAAGGGTTTGGGTGATAAACGGGTTGACACACCAAACACGTTTAATAAACGGGTCGTATTCGGATGATACTTGTCAAATCGTTTATCACACGTTTATCCGTTTAAATAAAATTAATATAATAATAAATTAATAATTATTTTAAAATTTTAGCAAGAAAAAAGAAGTAAAGAAATCAATAAAAAAAAAAAAAAAATAGTAGTTCAAAAACAAAAGAGAAGAGTTGGAGAGCACTTCAAAGACAAAGACAAATAAATGTCATTTGTTTTTATCCCACATTGAAAAATGAGGAGAGATAGAGGGGGTTGAGTTGCCTATAAAAGACAATGACCTCTTGCTTTTATTTTTAAAGCCTTCAAGTCTTATTTTTCAAAGACAAAGGAGAGGAGTTGTAGGGCACTTCAAAGACAGACAAACCAATGTCTTTTGATTTTGTCCCACATTAGAAAGTGAGGGGAAATGGAGAGGGTGAGTTGCTTATAAAAGACAATAGCCTATTGTTTTTTTTTAAAGCCTTCAAGTATTATTTTTATGATATTTGATTTAAAATTTCTCTTTTTTGAGGTAAGTGCAATTAGTAGTAAAAAAAATGGAATATTAAAATTTGTTGAAATAATTTTTTTAAAATTAAACGGGTTAAATAAGTTGTGTCGTGTTACCTGTTTATTAAACGAGTCGTCTTCGTGTTGACATTTTTTACCAGTTTATTAAACGTGTTGTGTATGAGTTTATACGTTTTTCACCCGTCACTCGTTTAACCCGACACGTAACCGTTTAACCCGACATGATTGACACCCCTAGTATTAGACAGTTAAAGGGCAAACTTAATTTTGAACTTTAGAGTATAGCGATCCACAAAATAAAGAGTAATATAAAAATTATAACTATTTATTAGGATGACATCATTTTTTTAACATATATTAATAATAGGGGGTTATGTGTTATATGTGTATAAATATTAGGGGTGTAAGTGTAATATTTTAAATATGAGGGTCTAATAATTAAGTGACAAATTTGAGAAGGTTTAAGCGTAATTTATCCATTTAATTTTAAGTTTCATGTGCATATTGATGCAAATTTATATTTTTAATAGTATAAAATAAAATTTTTGATCTTTGAATATATAAATTAAGATTCAATAAATCCTTTATGGTATAATTTGTAATTAATTTATTAATAAATAAATAAAATCTGAGTAAAATATTTTTTAATACTAAACCGCTCGAAACGTCTCACCCGTGAATTTGTTTTGGTTGTATTGTCTGCGGTATCTGTTCATTCGCATTGCACCGTGCAGTCCAGCCTAATATATATATTTCTTGAGTCCAAAAATAGAAACCCAACACTAAATCTTCATACCTTTCTGAGCCGTCCAAGCTCAGTGCTTGAACCCTTTGACAGGTAAATTTCAGTTTTAGAACATTACGAAGAATGACGTTGTTTATAATTCATTGACACCCTTTTGTATTTGGTTTTTGTTTTGAATCTATTTTCCGAAAGAATGAAAATTCTCCAGAATACACAAACCCATTTCTCTGTTCTGATACCCATAAACCCATTTCTCTGTTCTGTTTTGAGCTTGTATTTTTCGACAGAACGAGGATTTTATTGAGCTCATATAGACCCGTTTCCCTTGCTTTGTTTTGACTTTTGAGCCTCTATTTTTTGAAAGAATAATTTAGTTAGGACCCATTTGGTTTGAATCTGTTTTTCGTGCAGAAAGAGTTCAAGACATAATGGAGATTGACAAGGCAATCAGTGAAAGCGATGATCGAAGGCTGAGGACAAAGTACAACAACGCCATCTATGTCATTCAAAGAGCTCTCGCTCTTTATTCGTAAGTTTTCAATCATCTTCATGATTCTTTTCCAATGCTTTAAGTTTGTGTTTTGTTTTGTCGGGTTTTATATTTTATATGTTGTGTTTATCTTGACCTGGGTTTTGAGCTATATGAATCTCAAGGATATTGAAGGTTACCCTGTTGCTTGAACGATTTTATTTCACTTCTCTTTTGGGGGTTAATTCTTACGGCATTAATGTGGGTTTTGAGAATCTGTGAATTGTAGTCAAAATCAGCATGCAGGTGTATTTTATCAACATACTCTTTGTTTAAGTTTGTTTCCAGTTGGCGCTTCAATGGTCAATCTCTACTGGGTTTAAGTGGGTGTCTTGTTTTTGGATGAGTGATATTAATAAACTTAAATTGAAAATCAACACTTGAGCGCCTAACTGTTTCATTGTAATGAACTGGTTTCCATTCATATGGGCTTCAATGGTTGTGTGATTCCACTTATTAATTTTCATCATCCTTGAATGTTTGGAAGTGCAGAGTTAGAGCAAGTCCCTGCAGGTTGGATTTTTGGTAAACGGCGCTACAGTATGATTTTGGCAGTTATAGAATGTTGTTAATTTTAATCAAATGCAAAATCTTTTAGTCCGCTCAATTTAATGGTAATAAATGTTCTTACTTTGAGGTACATTAATTATTAGGTCACTGATTGTTTACGAATGAAAACTGATTGTGAATTAATTTCCAAGTCAGTTTATTCTGGAGGTAGGGAGATTTGAGGTAAAGGTGCTGGTATAGTACCTGTTTTCGTTGACTATTGTCCTTAGCACCATAGTACCTGCTGATTTTCTGCGTGTTCCGCGTGTTGCTGGAGTTCTGCACGTCGGAAATTATGAAATATGTTTGTGGATGGCTGTGGGAAAATTTCAGAGGCATAGTGATAGTTGGTAGTGCAGTATCAGTGTATTTGGCTACCAAGGACACTTGTCATCCAAGAATATCCGTAATTTTGGATAGCACTCTTAGTAAAGGACATTGGTTTTAGTACTGGCGTTGCTTTTTCTTGGATGGCTGCCATAATATCACTGAAGCAATATTCTCATGTTCTTTTTTTATATTCATTCATTGCAAAGTGCAACTTCTCTTGAATAGATTAACTAAGCTCTAATTTTTTTTACCTGGACAGTATTGAAGAGGTCGCCTTTAGCTTCAATGGTGGGAAGGATTCAACTGTAAGTTTCCACATAATTTGCTTAAACTGTCAAAATTTCTGTATCCTGAATCAATATTTGACAATGAACTGATGTTGTAGGTATTATTACACCTGCTTAGGGCAGGCTTTTTTTTGCATAAAGTGGAACAAAGCCATTCCAATGGGGATCTCAGCGATTGTGGATTCACATTTCCAATTCGGACGATTTATTTTGAGAGCTCTTCTGCCTTCCCTGAAATCAATTCATTCACTTATGAAATAGCCTCTGAGTAAGAAAACCTATTCTCTACATGTGTGTGTGTGTATCTGTCTGTCTGCCTGTCTGTGTCTTAGTTCTATTTTCAGTTTTGCCTCTCTCTATTCTTAGTTTTGCTTCCAACCCCACCCCGAAGTTTGAACTGTTTGACAGATAGATCACAATAATTTTTTTCATTCTGGATATGATCTGCAAGTATCTGGTTTTTGATTTGACTTATGTTCTTGGACCAGCTACAATTTGCAAATGGATATTATTCGTCAAGATTTCAAGTCTGGTTTGGAGGCTCTTTTAAAGGCTAAACCAATTAGAGCCATTTTTCTTGGTGTCCGAATTGGTGATCCTACTGCTGTATGTAAATGCATTCTCTTAATTAGAATAGATTGTATGCCAAATCATGCATGGTTTCTCCTGAAGGATAGACTGCAATGAAATATTACTTTATATGTCTCATAATTATTTTGCAGATAGGTCAAGAACAATTCTCCCCTAGCTCGCCTGGATGGCCACCATTCATGAGAGTGAATCCAATCTTGGATTGGTCATACAGGTCCATTCATTTACTGCTAGTCTTGCATACATGTGATTATGTACCTTGCTAGTTAATATTCTTTAGGTGGGGAACACTACTGTTTCAGAGGAGAGTTATGTGTTCACTACCCCGTACGCTTAGTTAATGAAGTGGAAAATAAATACTAGCCCTGGCGGGCATCGATTGCCATAGGAGTACTTTAACCATTTAGTTCCCAGTAATTTGTGCTAATAAAAGTGGTTTACTCAATATTTTGTACTACAATACAGTATAACTCAACACTACAATGATAAAAAGCTTCGATCTTGGTGTGCACTATCTGCTGTCTGTTGCCCAGTGGCTGTCATAGAATTTCACAGGTGGCTTCTTGACCTTGATCGGTTAAATTGGAACACATGATGTGAAGTTGGCACTATTTCATTTCTTATGTGAGGAAGCTTGACATGTTTTTCTACTGTGGCTTGATGTAACATCAGCAAGGCTTTTTATTGTGTTTTCCTCAGCAACTTGATGAGCACATGGCATAAGTAATCATATAATGGTTTCTTGAAGTTGAGCATAAAATCCTTTCTGTCGTTATTCTTCACTTCCAGGTCTCCCTTAAATCTTCATATCCTTTTTGTGGATCTTGATAATGGTTTGACAAATGCAAAAGCTGATTAGCCACTACAGTTTCATGTAGTGGCCGAATAATAGTAGTCAGCTGAGTCAACTTCATAACAAGTAATTAAAGGTCCGGGAGTTGGGGACTGGGCCGGAGTGAACTTACAACCCTCACCCTCACTTGATTTGGTATTCCGTCATTTGCTAACTTAATAAGGGTGACTTTACTTTTCGGCCTTTTATTGGGGGATTTGACCGAGCCTTCTAATCTCATAAAATGGAAATGTTGAAGGTTATTGTTGTCTGGAAGATTTTTTACCAAGTGTTCATCCTTTTTATATCTGGAGTGGATGCTTATAGAGTTTGGAAGTGTCATTTTGTTCTACACGGTTTTTCAATTTTGGTTAGATATGAAGGGTTAACTTCCTTATTTTGATTTGACAGAGATGTATGGGCCTTTCTATTGACTTGCAAGGTTCAATACTGCAGTCTCTATGATCGAGGGTAATACTGCATTTATTGAGCTGTGGGATGTGCTTTCATTTTATTTAACTTTTATTTTCATCTAAAGAAGCTTTGTTCAATGTTACATGGCCTTGGATACATTTGTCAGGTGCAGGTGTATGTCTTGCCATTGGTTCTGTTTAGTCCCCAAATCCTGTGACACAGTGACAGCTAATTCGTATTTTTTAACATTCCAATAATAATTTCCTTGGGTGAAATGGTGTTCTATGTTATGCAGCATGCTTACTCATTTTAAAGTAATCATACATTTATGTAGTGAAATATCGAAGAGTTTTCTGTACCATTATTTAGTGAAATTGGATTTTTGAATATGCTTGTTGGTGCATGACCAATGGGACATGTATTACATCCAGGGCCGGCTCTTAGGCTAGGCAATCAAAGCGGTCACCTAGGACCCCATACTTTTGGGGGCCTCAATTTTTTTTTAGATTTATATTTACTTGAAATTATTTTTAAAAATTTTAGATTCAAGTTTAATTAAGTCTAGATTTGTTTTCAAGGTCCCAAATAAAACTTTTAGATCTATGTTCAATCAAATCAAATTTTACTTTTGCCCTAATGTTGAGTGCCTGACATGTGTACTTGAAGCATTTAATGGAGCCCATCTAAGACAGAACATATTTTGGAGCTGGAATTCGTTGGTTTGATGCATGATGCAAATATTTAAACATCCTTTCCAAGGTCAGACCAGATTTCTACTGGTTGATTCCCATGAAGCATTCTTTTTCTTTTTCCTGTTGACAGTTACACTTCAATTGGGAGCACACATGACACGGTTCCAAATGCATTATTGTGCATCAACAATTCCACTAATAGCAAAGCACAATTTAGACCTGCATATCTGCTTCCAGATGGAAGATTAGAAAGAGCAGGAAGAGTGAAGAAGTTCTCTACGGCTAGTGGGCTGTTTCTTGACATTAACACTGACTTGAAAAGTATGGATCCCCATCAAAACGGCATATTCACAGCTTCAGTCATTGCTGTGGGTGATGAGATTCTGTAAGTTCCTCGTAATTGTGGTGTTCAATAGGGAAAGGTGTCTGTGCTTGTTTTTGTTTTGAGAATCATTTATCCTACAGTCCTTAATGCATTATTATGGTGCTCTTTCGTCCTGTGGTTGTAGACAATGAGGTTTTGTGTGCTTATAGTTATTAGTTTTGGTTAATTGAAATGTTCCTTTCCTGGATTACATTTTTGAAGTCACTTGTTTGATGCCTAGAACAGAATAAGGAGATGCTATTTTTTTGGAGCTTTGTTAGACTACCTAGTTTGCTATTTTCTTTCAATTTCTTTGTGATTCTGAGCATTCCGTCATAATATCTTGCTTTTGAGTTTTATTTGTTGATTGTTATGAGATAATGCTATATTTGATTAGATAGGAATAATTCATCAGTCTAATATTCCACACTTTGACTTCTTACCTTTCTAATCCTGTAGTTTCCGCCTTCACACAAATAAATATGCACATTAATGCTAGTATTTTGATTACTAAACATGTGATTCCTGATGTTTCCTATTACTTGCATATCTGATTTTTGCATATTGGTTCCATAGCTCAGGTTTGGCACTGTTGAGGACCAGTTGGGACTGGCCTTGTGTAGAAAGCTCCATTCTATAGGTTGGGTGGTAGCACATATTTCCATCGTCCGAAATGATGTAAGTTTTTATTACATTGCTTTCCAGCATTAGTGACTATCTTTGTTAGAAAAAATAAAATTCTTTTGTCAAAAAAAAAGAAAAAAACTATACATCCTCCCTTTAGTTTGAAAATTATGTTTGTGTCGAAATATTGGCTTTGATGCATTGTCTTGACAAATGTTCCGTGTCTGAAAATTTTTAATGGAAAAACTATATAACTATTATGATTATATGGAAACATTGCCGCAATAATTATGTGGTTACATTGCAGTGATAATCTTGGACGATATTGTGACAATAATTGTACATTGTACGTCAGTTGTAAAGTATATGCCAAATTTTTTGATTTTGGTTTCTCCATTTACATTAGTGGGATGGTAATTTCTTTGGAAGATTTCCATTTTGTACAAACAAGCAAGGTGATTAATGTGAGAATCTATTAAATAATAAAGCTTGTACACTTCATAATTTTTCCCATCAACATTGCTCTGGGCCAATTTTTGTTTGGAGATTTTATGCATGTGTCAGCTTTATCTCTACGCACTTTAGGGGACAGAAAACTCATGGTCTTGCTTGTTAATTAATAAATAAAGAACAATGAGGAACTCTAAAACTTTCCCTTTCCTGATTGACCTTTCACTTTACTTTTTCATTCTTTATGAAATTTTTTAAATCCAGGTGGATTCTGTAGCGGAAGAAGTTGACAGACGGAAGTTGGCAAATGACATGGTAAACCTGTACCGTTTGTTCTAGAGCAATTTATGTTTTTCACACAGAGAGACAGAGAGAAATGTAGAAGAGAGAGCTCTTTTTGTGCTTTGTCTTTCTGAAATCTGATTCTTTATGTGGATCAACATTGAGCTACCACTGCAGGTATTCGTATATGGAGGGATTGGTCCATTGCCTTCTGATGTTACTGTAGCAGGAATTGCGAAAGCATTAGGTGTTCGTCTGGTGAGTCACATCTGTTGAACAGATAATTCCCTTTTGCCATATCACAGTGTACGGTGTAGATACATTTAAAACTTCGATAGTGGAGATGATATTGGTCACTCTAATCCGAATGGGTCAGAGTCATGCCTTTTCTCCCCAAGTCTCACCATACTCCTATTCTCAATCCGATATTCTTGAAAAAGGGGTTTGGGACATGCTAGTATTCGTCATTGGTAAATGAACTTGGCAATAGTGATTCCAAACTAGTGTCTCGTGTATTTTAGGTTGTAGATTTCTAGTACTAACCACATTCCATAATTTCAATTCTAATTCAGGCTCCTGATGAAGAATTCGAAGAATATCTTAGACATCTGATTGGGGAAAAGTGTGCTGGGGATCGGAATGAGGTATTAAATTTCAAGTATTGATTGTTCCTGAAGTGTCTTGTTTTATCCAATGTTGTCCTGTTTGGAACTGATAGGGCAACTAGATCTGGCTTTGTGCTGAAATATACGACCATGTGCTATTTGAAAATAGGGCATTCTGATAATCTGTAATAGGGAGAATGATACATTTTAGTGTTTTCTGAATATGACATTATGATAATCTAAAGTTTGGAGAATGATACATTTTAGAATTTAAAGAAACTGTGGTTATTGTGTATATTAGGGGCATTACTTAGACCATCTTCAATCCTTATCTTTTTTTAAATCATTTTTTAAAAAAGGGTAAAAAACTCTTTAAAATCTTCTCCAATGCTAGACCCATATCCATACCAAATGAAGGCAAACCCTTTTTTAAACCCAAATCAAGGGAGACCCTTTTTTAAACCCAAATATTTAACGGTGAAATTACACCCTCTTTTAAAAATCCAAGGGTTATATTTTATCCTCTTTTAAATTTGGGTTTGTCCTTATTTAAATTTGAGTTTCTCCTCCTTTAAAAAATGATTTGTTTATTGGAGAGGTTTATACCAAATTAAGCATTTTACTCTTTTTTTTTGCTTAAATTTGTGTAAGGGTTTGGGTTTCCATTGGAGATGCTCTTACGTTGTACTTAGCAAAGTTGGTGCTAGAATATTTCGATCAATGAGTAAAGTTACTTATCAATTTATATTTTGCCTACTAGTAATTTGGGACTCTGATTGTGTCAATGTCCTTGCTCAAACTTTATCATCAATCAATCAAAGGGAGAGAGATTTTATACTAATCCTGGTATCTTTCATTATAATATGGTTTTTGAGTTATGAAGCATGAAATTGGTCTCATCCTTACATTTTTTCCTTTTCCATTTTCACTTTTGCCAGATGGCTCAATTGCCCGAGGGCATCACAGAACTACTGCATCATGAAAAGCTGCCTGTGCCTTTGGTTTGTGTTCAGGATCCGACTTCTGATGCCATTGTTTAATGATATTTAAATTTAAACGGATTTTGGTAAACCATGGTGAAACATAATTAGACAAGAGATGAACAATGTTTGTGATACTCTATTTCACATGTTTCATTTTAATGAAGTTGCTGTTATCTATGAGCATTCAATAACATTTATAGCATTAAAGCAAAAATGGTTAATAGTACTTTTGGTCCCCAAGAATGTTTGTTTTGTTAGTTTAATCTTCATTATATTAATTTTGTCAATATGGTCCCTAAAGTTTCAATTTCTGTCACGTTGACTCCTAATCAGACAATTCGTTAAGTTTGTGACAGAAATAACCACGTGTTATTCTCTCAGATGGTATCATGTGACGATTTTTTCGAAAACTTAACTATTCATCTGTGTAGGGATCTTTTAAATACGAATTGAATACTTTAGTGGCCAAATTGACATTTTATACATTAGGGACCAAACTGACAAAATATACATACTTTAAGTTCCAAAATTACTATTAACCCAATAAAAAAAGGAATTTTGCCCTAGCTTTGGCTTATATACCTGTGGTGACCATTAGCTGGCCACAAAAAATTAGAACTGATATAAGTGGTCAACTGGGATATGGATGCTGAGTGTTAGCTGTTGGTGCACATCTCTCTTAATGCAGGAAGGGGATAGTGCGAAGGGTATCCTTGTTTATTTCTTCTTTTTTATAAACTCTTTTTAAATATATGTCTAAAAGCAACTAAGCAAGACATAGTGTTGAAGAAGACTATTATTAGGTCAGGTTAAATGTGGTTTTTTCTACATTCATTTTAGATAACATTTTATCCGAGGTTAAGGAGTTTCAAAATGTCTGTCGAAATATCAATATGTTAAGGCACTTTCTAATGGTATGTAAACAAACATAAGGCACTTCCTAATGGTATGTAAACAAGGTATTTCTANTATCACAGAACTACTGCATCATGAAAAGCTGCCTGTGCCTTTGGTTTGTGTTTAGGATCCGACTTCTGGTGCCATTGTTTAATGATATTTAAATTTAAACGGACTTTGGTAAACCATGGTGAAACATAATTAGACAAGAGATGAACAATGTTTGTGATACTCTATTTCACATGTTTCATTTTAATGAAGTTGCTGTTATCTATGAGCATTCAATAACATTTATAGCATTAAAGCAAAAATGGTTAATAGTACTTTTGGTCCCCAAGAATGTTTGTTTTGTTAGTTTAATCTTCATTATATTAATTTTGTCAATATGGTCCCTAAAGTTTCAATTTCTGTCACGTTGACTCCTAATCAGACAATTCGTTAAGTTTGTGACAGAAATAACCACGTGTTATTCTTTCAGATGGTATCACGTGACTAACATGTGACGATTTTTTCGAAAACTTCACTATTCATCTGTGTAGGGATCTTTTAAATACGAATTGAATACTTTAGTGGCCAAATTGACAATTTATACATTAGGGACCAAACTGACAAAATATACATACTTTAAGTTCCAAAATTACTATTAACCCAATAACAAAAGGAATTTTGCCCTAGCTTTGGCCTATATACCTGTGGTGACCATTAGCTGGCCACAAAAAATTAGAACTGATATAAGTGGTCAACTGGGATATGGATGCTGAGTGTTAGCTGTTGGTGCACATCTCTCTTAATGCAGGAAGGGGATAGTGCGAAGGGTATCCTTGTTTATTTCTTCTTTTTTATAAACTCTTTTTAAATATATGTCTAAAAGCAACTAAGCAAGACATAGTGTTGAAGAAGACTATTATTAGGTCAGGTTAAATGTGGTTTTTTCTACATTCATTTTAGATAACATTTTATCCGAGGTTAAGGAGTTTCAAAATGTCTGTCGAAATATCAATATGTTAAGGCACTTTCTAATGGTATGTAAACAAACATAAGGCACTTCCTAATGGTATGTAAACAAGGTATTTCTAGTCCTGTGTGGAGAAGAAAAATCATATAGACACTCATCAAACTTCCAGGTTACAACGGAGTAACCTTATCACAACGCAATGGTCCGCATTCCACACACTTCTAGGAGTTCACATATATTATGGATAAATTAGAAGGCTAACAAGATGAATTTCGCCAATTGAATCATAAGTTATTATGGAAAAGGAGAAACTCTGTAGTCCCTTTGTCTTCACAAGCTTGTCTTCTCAACTGGATTCCCCTAGGTCATCTTCTCCATGGGGATATTGATATTGTAAGAACTCTTGCTGTTCTTGTTTGTCCATGACCCTTTGCTCTTGGAATTGAGTGGAGGAAAATGTATGTAGTTCTGGTACCTACATGCAAGACATATTTGGATAGCTGGTCGTATTTTGTTGTAAATTGTAATGAAGGCTTTTTGAGTTGATCAAGTTGAGTTGAGGTACATACTGCCAAATTATGGGGGCTATATGCCAAAAGCTGTCATGATCCTGTCTTTTAGGGCTGTAGACAGCTGTGTCCTAGAAAGGGTATTCTGGTGCTGGAGAACTCAAAGGATAAGAAATAACCACCCTTTGTTGTCTCCCATTTGCAGTATCTATTTTTCATGCTAGCTCTGGTTGCATCTTGTTGATTGCTAATATTGTACTTGTTTTATTCAAGTATTGATGATTGATATGCGTTTTTTATTTTCTTTCTTGATCAACTACTTTCTAGGTGTCCATATAGATGATATGATTCATTCAGTAAAAGCTTGAACAATTGAGTATCTGTGGTGGTTTTTGTAGATCAAGTGTCTCAATGTAGTCATTCTTACTGCAACAAATGTTAACGAGCTGGACCAGCAGTGGGATTGCCTAATTGAATTATCAGGGTCTAGTGGCCTGCTAATATCAATGAAACCATTTGTATCAAAGCGCTTGGAGACAAATCTTTCAGATGTATGTTTGACTCTAATTTTCCATCCTCTTGTTATTTATCTAGTCCCATCCTTGCATTGTTTTTACACACACTGCTAGAAACATTGGTTTTTTCTGTTTGCCTTCATCCTCAGACTTGCCAACCAGAATTTGCCTGCAGTTGATCACATCTTCAATGTGCTTGACTAATGCTTTTATTTTCTTTCTGTCTGTAATTTGATATCATCTGCTCACTTGTCAGGAAATGCATTCTGATTCATCATGTACAGTGACTCCACATAACTGTTTATGACTAATCATTCATCATGTTCTCTAAGTCGTTTTTAATATTCTATAACTATCTCTGACAAAATTATGGGTGTATTCCAGAAGAAAATAGTTTTCAAAGACAATTTTTTCCATGGGGTTCTACTCCCTTGAAGCGAGATTTAAAAAGCGAAGGGAGTGAGTTTTTTATTCTTTCTTTTGTATGTATCAAAAGCAAAATTGCATTGGTTATAGAACATGAGATTTGAAGCAAATCACAAAATATATCAGCATAGCTTGCACAAGTTAATCATTTAAAATTTTATCATGAAATTATGAATCTTTTGTTCTTGGATGCGACATAAACCAACAGATACATTGTTGGTCATTTTGTGAAAGGAAAAGAATGAAGGAATTATAAATGCAATTGAAGGAGTGAGCCCCATGACTAGTTGAGACCCATGCTTAAAGCCTTGAGCCTTTTTAAAGACACGCTACCAAGAGGCAAGCCTTGAATCTGTCAGGAAAAACAAGGATGAGTACCATTATAAAAACTTTTTCATTACCAAGAGCATTCAATATCATTAAAAATTATGACCTAGAGAACTCTCATTGGACGATATTAAATTATTCTGTATTAGTATTTTGCAGTTTTAGCTTTCTAAACTAGTGAGCCAAACAGATTTTTGCCTTTTCATGCTTTTTTCGTTGCTTTGCCCAAATGCTTTTCTGAGTTTCCCCACTGTATTTTATAGTTCTACTGACATTAGTTTAAGCAGAAGCTGGTAGAAAATGTGTCCAAGTTGTTCAGGTATTTTGTTTAAGCAGAAGCTGCAGAAAATGTGCAGAGAACATAGTATGAGAATTAGCAACACCTGATATAGGAAAATAAATACAGGTTTGATAAGGCAATATTGCATACTTGGGAATATGGAGTTTTTCTCTTCTAGATTGGTTATTAGAAGTACTGCTTGAACTGGATTTTTTCTGGTAATTATTTGATATCTTATTCTTACTTTGTTAATGTTGTCATCTAAATGATTTGTGTACCACATAATGCAGGTAGAAGCTGCTCAACCTCTATCAAAACTTGGTCTTGAATTCCCAGACCTTTATATTGGTTAGAAGATTCAGAAATTGTTTTGGTTATCCGGTGTATAGCATATCTAGTTTTTATCTCTTCTAATTTTTTCATTTTCTTTTTTTCTCTTCTAAACTTCAAGGTTGTTATCGGAAATCCAGAAATGGGCCTTTGATAATTAGCTTTGAAGGCAAGGTAAAGGATGGTTCCAAAAGATTTGAGGTGGTTTGAAAGTCACTAGGCCATAAAACTAAGTGGATTTAGTGTATAAGCCATTTGTGATTGGCTGCAGGATCAAGTGAGAATAAAAGCAGCTGCTGAAGCACTGTGCATGAAGTTTCTTCCTGGAGCATTTTCTGAAATTAGCTGACTCTATTATCAACTCGTCTCTGAAGAAGGGTTGCTGAAGCACCAATGACACTTTCCAATAGCTACATTGATGTATGGTGCAAGGATTCCCTCTATGAGGCAGGCAATCCTCCAAATAATGGGAGCACGATTTGGAAAGGCAAACAGGCAGAGATCGAAGACTGCCTTTCCTAACCTGTTTCCCCCCGGAGAAAAACCCCCCAAAAAAAAGGAAGGGAAAAAGAGAAATGAGAAAAAATTAAGTTCCGTTTATCATTGACCTAAAAACAATAACAAACTTGTGTTAAGGACTGTAATGGTACTCATGCAAGAAGTGATCTCACAGCAACATTAAAACTTTTAAGGCTTTTGGAATCCAGCTTCCTGTTCTCTCTCTTGCAGTACCCTTTATTGTGCAATTAAGAAAACATTATCTGGGTATTGATCACCATAATCTGCAGTAAATAGTCATTCTTATATGAAGCACCCTAGGGCGCTGGTGATGTTCTGCACTGTGTTATTTCTGAGTGAGATGCGTTGCAGTTGACCACATCCTCAATGTGCTTTAGGCAAAATTCAGTGAGATGCCTTGAATGGTTATTTCCACACAACAAACCGAAGGATTAGCAAACCGATGGATTAGCAAATGATTTTTATGATACGAAGGAATTGGTGGAAAGAGTGATCAAATTCTAAACCCAAAAAAAGGGGTGATTGGATTTTATTATATTGAATTACATTAGTAATCGAATACTAACAATGAATTAAATCAACAATTAGGCCCAAGTAGTGCTATGTACCAACTATATTCACAGTGTTGTATTGACACATAAATTGGCATCTCAAGCAAAGGCAAGGGAGGAAAGCAATTCCACCCTTGCAAATGGTCGGCAGCGATCAAACTTGACTTGGGTTTTAGGGTTTTACTTTGATCACCCAGACATTGAGTCATCATATCATATCTATTCTTACTAAGAAAAAAACTTTTGATAGGGGTTGGAAGGACAGGTTGTCCCCGACTGTGACTACTGATGCTGATACTTGAGATTCAATCCTTTGCAAGTGCTCCTTGAGGGCTTGAATTGCCTCTTTTGCATGGAGACCATGAAGTCCAAATTCTACTTGTCATTATTACGGTTGTTGATACTAAGAATTTCTTTAGCTGCCTTAGCATGAAGTATCTCATCAGCCATTCGTTCAGCTTGAGCCTTTTTAGTGACAANCAAGTCCAAATTCTACATGTCATTATTACGGTTGTTGATACTAAGAATTTCTTTGGCTGCCTTAGCATGAAGTATCTCATCAGCCATTCGTTCAGCTTGAGCCTTTTTAGTGACAAATCTTGGGCAGAAATATGATCCGTTTAGGTAAGCATCTCGGGATGCTTTCGAATGTGGTATGCTAACATTGTCATTTTTATTGCATCTTTTCAGTGAATCAAATAAATATCATTACCTCTCTATCAACTCTTCAATCTTACCATCCTCATGATTGAGAACATAACTCTTTAGCTCTTCAAGATCCATATTCGTAATTTTTGCCTTTTCATCCTCATCATGATTCCTTGTGTTTGACCTTTTGTCAATATCGTTATTTACACATGCTATAACGTTTCTGAGATTAACGTGAAACGAAACCCTATTAGGAGCGTTAGGGTTCCACCATGAAAGCATCATCACACTAACATAACTCATCGTCTTTGAACTTTGGTGTTAAATTTTTCTGGGTATAGAGTGTCAAAAAAACCCTATTGCTACCTCACGTTCTTTGTTTGCAAACCAACAAATTTGATTGTTACTCAATATCCAAGGTTTCAAGGAGTTTAAGAGATTACAAAGACTAGAAGATATAAATGCTTGAGTTCCATTTATAATGGAAAACTAAACTAAGAACTTCCAAGTGAGGAAGGAGAGTAAGAGCTATGGTACTACTGAGACCACTAATTTTAATTTGAATGATTTTTAATCGTTAATACAGAAATAATAAATTAATAAAAAATTTAAGACAAAAATATATACATGTTGCATTTCTATAAGTAAAAAAAAATAAATAAAAGTACAGTACCCAAAAAAATAAAACATTTCGGTAGAATAACACTCCTTAAAAAAAGGTTAAGAATTGAAAAATTGGAAAACTTAGACATTGACCTGATACAAATTGGGGCCTAAAGCAAGAATTTTACATGAGATTTTATTTAATATTTTAGGAAGATAATATTTTTTTTAATAAATATTAGACATTTTATAGAAAGTTGTGCTATGATTTGTTTTTAGGAGTTTTGATATTGGGCAGGATCAGACAATAAATTGGGTGCAATTGTAAAGTTAGGATGTTACACATTAATAAATTAAACGAAGAATTAAAGTAACATCAAGAAAGATAGAGATAATAATAAAGAACCAAAGCAAGACAATCAGAGTGGGAGGGAAGGAAAGAGTTGAAGAGAGATTGAGAGTCAAGGAAAAAATAATGAAGAGAATCGAAAATGATTGTAGCTTTTAAAACTAGAAGTCATTATTTATATATATAGTTTTTAGAAGGATTTGTTATATTTTTGAACTTTCTATAAGGTTTACGTAGACTTATGAAATTATTACATTTTAGAACTTTTTATAAGGCTTTAGATAGACTTGTGAAATATATTAGACCTTTAATTTTATCTATTCAAAAGGGTCTTATAACATGAAATTGAACTAAAGGTTGAATATTAAATTGAGGCTATAAATTTTTGGGGCTCTAAGTGACTATTTTATTGGTTGACCTCCAAGGCCAGCCCTACTGTGGCTCCTTTTATCCAAAAAATCGAAGTGTTTGTGCATCTCGCAATAATTATAATCTCTACTCGTCCCTCTGTGTCGAGTCTTTGTCCATGAAACCGATTAAGTAAGACAAATTGATTACTGAATGACACGCAAGGATTAAATGTAATATATGTGTTATTTTATATTTTATGTATTTTTTTTAATTTGTCAAATTATATATAGACCGTTATAAGATACTGTCATAATAAAGATGTTCAATGTTACAACGTGGTGTCACATAATTTTTTTTGGTAATTTTGGCATCTAATATATATTAAACATTACATATGTGTTATTTAATACACATGCTATCTGCGTACAACTGTTCAATAGTATAATTGTTCAATAGTATAATTCATAGGAATTGTAAATATATATAGATCATCTTGACTAACTATACATTTTTTAGCAAACAAATCTGCACATCTGTTTATCTTTTTTATCTCTTTCTTGACCCATACTTTTTTTTTGTTTGGTAATTTTTTTTAATTTTAGTTCAATAAATGTAAAATATCCATGGACATAAATAATATAGCGTTGTGATACTGAATTTATATTTTAATCAAAATTTGACATATGTAAAATTTATTTATTTATTATTTTATTTTATTTTATAATTTTGACAATTAATGATCACAAGTATATCAGATTATGAATCGAATTTGAGTTTGATAAATTGCATATAATTTTTTTATTAATTATTCCTATTCAAGCTAATTGTATCATATGTGATAAATTTAAACTTGAATATTTAATAATTGGTGTGACCAAAATTTAGTTTTTGAGTTAAATACATGAAGTTTAGTTATTATTTAATAAGTTTCAATTGAAATTAAGGTGTAATTTGTTAAAATTTATTTTTAATTGAGTTATTCGTAATGAATCAATTTTTTAGAGTGAATTTTTAAAATTAAAATAACTTATAAAAATAAATTTCATCGAGTAATAGAATGAAATTCACATCAAATTTATCAAAAATTGAATTTAAATTTTGAGTGATTCAAAATCCAGTATAAACTGATCCATTGGTACACGTGATGCACATTTTATTTGTTGGGTCGTCCAGCCTTTTTTGTTTACATTTATGCTTTATGTTAACTAAGCGTAACATGTCTCATGGATTTTATAAATGATGCCACGGCAAATTAATATAAATATTTATTGATATTCAATCAAATAATAAAATTATTGTCTAATGATTCGCCTATTATGTTTGTTGTATTGCTTGCTGTTTACTCTTATTGTCTCTCGTTCAAACATCTTCAATTCTTATTATTTTTTAGACCCGAATTTAAATTTAAATAAAAATAATTTAAAAACTTTATTTAATCCTATGCCTAAACTCATTCTAAATTAAGGAAGACTCAAAATATTTACCAAAATTAAAGAAACTCAAATTTTTACTCAAATCAATGATGGCGATATTTCATTCTTTTTTAAAGATCTAATGATCATATTTTACTTACCTTTAAATTTAAGTTTGTCCATTGGATTCCTTTGTATGAAATCAAATTTTTTTCCTCAAATCTTGACACTCAAATTTGAGTCAATATTATGTATAAAAATATATTANTCTTGACCCATACTTTTTTTTTGTTTGGTAATTTTTTTTAATTTTAGTTCAATAAATGTAAAATATCCATGGACATAAATAATATAGCGTTGTGATACTGAATTTATATTTTAATCAAAATTTGACATATGTAAAATTTATTTATTTATTATTTTATTTTATTTTATAATTTTGACAATNTTTAACAACATCAGTTTTGTTTCCATTTTTTACTTATCCAAACATGGTCTCAAAACCAAATTTGAACCATGCGAGGGAGAGTTTCTTCCTCACCCAAAAGTTGCATTTCAAATATTAATCTTGCGGATGTAGTCCCAATGAACAAAGACATGGTTATAAAATTAATGATACATTTGGGGGTAAATAATTTATTACAATAATTTGACATTTTTATCAATTGAAATATGAGCTTAGGTAATGGGCCGCCATATTTTTATAAGTTTATTGGTTTTAGAAAAAAACGGAAGCCGGTACACAAATTTAGATTTGTTTGAGGTAAAATTCATTAAGGAAACTTATTTAGCCTTAGGTACATTTTTGTGAAAAAAAGACCAAAAGTCCATTCAATAAAAGTAAAAAAAAAAACAGGTGCAAGATGCAAGATGTTACCGTTTCTCCTTATTTTCTCTCTCTCTCTCTCTGTTACTCTCTCACTCTCTCTAGCTATCCGTTACTCTTCACTTTCTCTCCCCTATTTTTTTTCTCTCTCTCCTCTATTTTCTCTCTCCACTACATATTCAATGTTACACCAAATAGTTACTTTGATATAATTGGATATCAATGTTATACTAAATAGTTACACCAATCAGTTATACTTCTGTTATGATACACCATAGAGTTACACACCAAACAATTACTTCAACATAATTGGATATCAACATTACACCAATCAGTTACACTTGTGTTACGATACACCATAGAGTTACACATGTATTCTAATAGACCAAATAGTTACACCAAATAGGAACACAAAATGATGACATCATAGCCAATACATCATTCAGTTGTTTATATAAACTAAAGAATTACACTATTCAGTATTAGCACATTATTACACTAGAAAAATACATCAAAATGGGTGAACCAAAAAACAAAAAAAACCAAAGATGTAACGTTGGTGTAACTGTGTAGTATATCGTTGATATTTGATTATGTTAAAGTAACTGTTGGTGTAACATTAATATCCGATTATGTCAATTTTTTTTACATATTTTGAAACGAAAATAAATTATCAATCAATTATGATTTCTTCAGTGTATCTCTTTTGGAGTATTAATACAACAACGTTTAAGAATGCCGACTTTGGATTGAGAGAGTAAATGTGCTTTGAATACGCAGTGAGAGAGAAAATGAGGGAGAGATAGTGAGAGAGAGAAAGAGAAAATAAGGGAGAGAGAGAGTAACAGAGAGAGAAAGAGAAAATATGAAAAAGAGTAACAGTGAGAGAAAACAGGGAGGTAGAGAGAGGGAGAGTGAGAGTGAGAGTGCGTGAGAGAATAAGAATAAATATCTAAAATTCAAATGAATGACAAAATCTAATCAAATCTTTACATATTTGATTAAGGAAGGGTAAACAAGTAATATATATAAAAGGTCATCTTAATTTTGTACCTAATAACAAAATGTTTTAGTAAAAGTGAACTTAATAGAATAAAAAACTTATCAATGCATTTTCTTTCAAATAAGTCTATAAAAATGTACTTACACCCAAACAACCCTTGGTTTTAATAGGTTTGTATTATTTCAACTTATGAAATTTAAATCCAAACTAGTTTAATTTTAGGAGCTTATTTAATTGTAANTTACTCTCTCACTCTCTCTAGCTATCCGTTACTCTTCACTTTCTCTCCCCTATTTTTTTTCTCTCTCTCCTCTATTTTCTCTCTCCACTACATATTCAATGTTACACCAAATAGTTACTTTGATATAATTGGATATCAATGTTATACTAAATAGTTACACCAATCAGTTATACTTCTGTTATGATACACCATAGAGTTACACACCAAACAATTACTTCAACATAATTGGATATCAACATTACACCAATCAGTTACACTTGTGTTACGATACACCATAGAGTTACACATGTATTCTAATAGACCAAATAGTTACACCAAATAGGAACACAAAATGATGACATCATAGCCAATACATCATTCAGTTGTTTATATAAACTAAAGAATTACACTATTCAGTATTAGCACATTATTACACTAGAAAAATACATCAAAATGGGTGAACCAAAAAACAAAAAAAACCAAAGATGTAACGTTGGTGTAACTGTGTAGTATATCGTTGATATTTGATTATGTTAAAG